AAACCTCCCGACTACTATACTGTCCAGCTTTAAGTTTATTAGAATTATTTATTTTAAAAATAAGTTTTAAAGAAATAGAACTTATAATATACTTTTTAGCTATTCTGTAATGTTATATGTAGTTACTATAAATACTATCTTTGAAGTTAAGTAATAGAAATAAATAATATTCTATAAAAGGATTTATAATTATAGTCCGTTTAAATTCGTTGGAGGTATTATAGAATATTAATATATATTCTTTTTAGTATATCGAAATACAATAATTATACTATAGCGAATTACTAGCATTTAGAAAAGAAAATTAGTAGAGAATTAATTAAATGAATAAAAATACGTACTTTTTACTAAAGATTTGAATAATTAATACCTTTAACCGCTTATCTTATTAAATTATATAATAGGTATAGTAACCAAACGGCTAACTACCCTTAGCGTTAATTTAAACTAAATTTAATACTATATTAGAAGAAATTATTATTTATCTAACCTAATTTAAAAATTATCCCTTAGCCCCAAAACCGCTAAGTATTTATAAAAACGCTTCCTAACGGCTAAGGAATCCTTATAAAAGAATAAAATATAATATTTTAGGAGGGTAGAGTATAGTATAAATTTTTAAATAAGCGATAGTTAATTTTATACCCTTTATTAGTATATAAGTTCTTTAAATAATATTTATAAGTAAAGGTCCTAGCCCAATTTATTACTAGATTTATAAATAGAGAAATTTATAAGTTTTAGGGCGGTTATTATATTAAATTTAATAAGAAATAGAATAGGGATAAATTAGTTTAAAAATATTATTATATTGCAATTAATAAATATTATTCTTATAGGCGTTCTAACGGGTATTAATTGGTTAATTAATAGTAGCGGAAGGAAGAAGTTGTACGGGATTTGCGTGTTTTTAAAATTGGTTGGAATTATAAATAAATATTTTAATAGTAAGTATTTAATATAGAAAGAAGAAAATTAATAGAATAACGGGGAATTAATTAGAAAAGGAAGGAGGTAAGAAGGGAAACCTAATTGAGGGAAGTAGGTTTTTATATTCTAATAATAGATTATTATTAATACTTAATCTATTACTTACTACTTTAAAAGAAGGTAATTATTTAAAAAAAACTTACTATTCTAAATAATTATTAAAGTTATTATAATTGTTAGAAAAAAAAGAGATGAAAAATTCCTACTATTTTAAACCTTTATAATTTACTATTTTTACTATTTAAATATTCGCTTTAAAAAAATAAATAAATTAATTATATTAAAGGTAAATACTATAAGGTTAGGTATTGTATTGTTAATTAAATAAGTAGTAGCTTTGAAAAAATACTTCTAATATTTAAATTTAATAGTCGGATAATCTACGAATTATTTATATAATACCCTCTTCCCCTAACCTTTTCCCTACCTTCCTTTTCTTCTTTCTATAGTAACAATATTAAGAAGCTTAAAAACTTCTAAAACTTTTTCTTCTCTATTAAAGTAACCCTAATTTAATATAACCTATATTATTAATTCTTTTACTATATATAATTTAGTACGTTTTAGAATATTAAATATCAACTTTAATTTTTTCTTCTTCTAACGCCTATAAATTAGTTATTTGCAATATTACTTTATTAATATATTTTTTAATAATTGTACTTCTTCCTATAATAAAGTTTAAATTACTTTAAATAATAATAATATAGGTAAATCCAATAAGGCTAAAAGTAAAAAACCTTAGACTACTTTAAACCCGATTAAAATAGTAAAATCTAGTAATATTAATAATAAATAACCCCAATAGTCTATTCCTATTCGTAGCCTTTAATTTTTACAAGGGTATAGTAGAATGCCAATCCTTAATTAACTTAATAAACGGGTAATTGCGCTATTATTAAACTTCTAATTCAAATAAACTTAAAAAGCTTTTAGAATAATATTCAATTAGAATATTATTAATTAAATACCTCAACTAAATATTAATATTATACCCAAATTATTAAAGACTATATTCTAAAGCTTTACTAATTAGTACATTTAAAATTATTAGGAATCCTTCCCTAACTTATTAAAAATAATTAATAAATAGTTAAATATTATAAAAATAAATTAATTACGTAATTGGATATTAAAATATAATAATAAATATAGGGTTTATAAAATATATTTTAACCCCCTTCGAAATCCGAAATTAAAGAATAAGCATATACCTTTCAATTATTCCTAATTAAACGGCACTCAACTAGATTAACACTTTAATCTTAACTTACCTTATAACGAATTAAATACCGACGAACTATTCGGTAAGCTCTTCCGCTCTGAATTACAATTTAATTAGGTAGGCGCCTTCCTACTAAATAAAAATAGTTTTTATAATTAAAAGCGATTTATAATACACCTAGCCAACTTTTAATATAGTATTAATAAATATACCTTTACCTATACTAATAATTTAATTATTTTACTTCTATAAGTAATTAAAAAGAGGTTAAAAATAATCTTTATATTAAATAAATATACTTAACTAAATAATACTAATAAAATTTTAAAATATATAATTAATTCGAACAATATTAAATTACCTATAAGGGAAAAAAGGTTTTAAGTAATTCCTATTTACTTATAAAATATATATTTCTCAGTGGCCATCTTTAATTAATTAGTAAGTTAATAGGACTATTACAATTCTAATTTATATAGTTCTATATTAAAGAATATAGAATTAGCTTTAATTTTATTATTTTAAAGATTTAACATTTAGGGGATAATAAAATCTAATTTAAACTTTTTTATTCATTAAATCGACTTTATTACTTGAAAATCCGATTAAATCTATAAATTAATAGTAGTAGAAGTTATACGAATAAGATTAGTAGAATATAATCTAAATTTTTAAATACTTATACCCAAAATTTAAAAATAAAATATAATATTAAAGGAATATATAGTATTTAAATAAGAGTAGAGAAAGAACATTATAGTACAATAGTATTAGAAAATAATTTATAATATTTTATAAATAAAGTAATAGTAATTTAAAAGCCTACTTAGGAATCTTTTAAGAGAAATATTATTTATAGTAAATAGTAGATTTAATAATATCCTCTTCTAATAAAGTAAATATATATACGGTACTAAAGAAAAGCCCTAGCGTTTTATATAGCCTAAAAATTATATTACCTAGATTAAAGAGAACCGATTATAAGGGTTCGGAGGTATAGAGATCTTTCCTCGCTATTAATTATATAATAGCCTTAATACTATAATTAACCTTCCTTTATTCTAATATATATTAATTAAACCTATTAAGGAAAATAGTAACAAAAGTTCTTCGTTATTTAATTCTTTATTATTTAGCTTTTCCTTTCTTATTTTTATAATACAACGAAGAAAAGTTAAAAAATTAACCTCTTCCTTAAATAATATTTATTTACCCCTAAATTCTTTCTAAAATTTAATTCTAACCCCAATTCCGCTTTAATAAATTATAATTCATTCTTAGAGTTTAAGGATAACGAATCAACCGGCCTCTATTCTAACTTTATTTTATTTAATAATATTATTACTTTTTAATCTTTATTTAATTAAGAAACGAAGCGCCTCTATTTAATTAATTATTAATAATTAAATACGCTATAGTTTAATATTAATTATATCTAATCCTCTTAGGGAAATTGGGGCTCTTTCTATTAATACTTTAATAAATTATATATAATTACGAATTCCTCTTCCGCTTAGAAATATAGGAATTTTTAAACTATTATTAGAAAATAGAATTCTATTAATTCCAAAAAGTATTAGCCTACCAAGTACTTTAGAATTACTTATAAATTTCGTATAGATATTTACTTAGGTAAGGAGGATTAATTAATTACTAATCCCTTTAAATTTTAGGAGGCCTTCGAATTTATTTACTCTCTCTAATTCCTTTTAATATAAGTATATACTATTAAACCCTATATTTGTATTACAATAAAAATTATCCTTAATATCCGGATTTAAAAGTTTTTACTCCGCTAGAGAAATTCCTATTATTAGCTAAAGCCCGGTAATTAATTAACTATAAGTGGTAGTACTATTTAATTTTAATTCTTATAAATTTATAGTAAACTCTTTAGTCTATTTTATTCGTTATATAGAGTGCAATTTAGATAACCTTCTTAAATACGATTTTAATAACCCTTTTTAAATTATAATAGAATTTGAGGAAAGATTTAATTTAAATATTTATTTAAGACTATAAAGACTTTTATAATTTATTAGAATAATTTAGAATAATATTATTCGGAAAATAAATAATTATTTCCTTACTAAAGGCGTTAGAGAAAAATATTTGATTACGAAAGGTAAGAGAGGATATAGGGGTAATAGAAATAATAGAGGAAAATACTAATTATGTATATATATGTGTGTGAAGGTGAGTTTGTTTAGGGGATTTGTTGTAGATTTAAAGGGAAGATTTAATTTAGGGTAGTATATAGGAATATATATATTGGTTTTCAGTAGTGATTTTTTTTAAAAATTTTTAAAATATATAGGATTAGGGAAGTACTTTCTAAATTAAATAAACTTAGATAGTTAGTATAGAAAAAGAATAGAAAAAGAAGGAAATTGAATATAAGGAAATAGGATAGGAGATTAATAGAATATTAACCTTTCGAAAAATTAAATAATTAATTTTTAGCTCTTTAGTAATTCTTAAATATATAAAATTAATTTTTAATAGTCGCTAATTATTTATCTTTATTTATTTAATATATTGAGTGATCTTTTATCCTTCTTAGGGAAATATTTATTCGTATTCCTATTTATATTCAAAAAGAAAGATATAGAAAGATCCGATAGTTACCCTCGTTTTCCGGCGAAAATTGAATATTAAATTATTTAATAAATGCGTGACTTTAATAAGTTGTATTTAGTTTAATACCTCCTATTTCGACTATTCGAAAAGACTTAAAAATCATCTACCACTCTACTTGATTAGACAGCTAAGAACTACGGTCCTTATGTATCGTGTTGGTTGTGGTAGTGTTGGTGTTGTTGTTGTGGTTTTCTCGCCATTTCATTATACGCACTTTATAATATTTTTATGCCCCTAAATTAGTTAATAAGATTAAAGTAGTAAAATAAAGAACTAAGTTAGATATTAAATATTTGTATTAAAATAGTTAATTAATAGTTATCTCCTATCTTGCTCTCTATTGCTCCTAAAATCTAATTCGCACTTTATCTAATAATTAGATAAATTCCTCTATCCTTATAGCACTAATAACGTTAATACTCTTTCGAATTATAAAGTAGAGGTTATTTAACGTTCGATTTAACTTATTTATATTATTATTATTAGCCTTTATAAAATTTAAAATTTCCTATACTTTTATAGATAATTGTTTATTAACCTTTTGAAAGTTTAGTCTATACTTTCGAGGTATATTAATAATACAATTAAAAGTACCTTCAAATAATATACGAATTTCTTTATAGACTTCGAATCTATTTTTAGCCTAGAGACTAACTAGTTGAATAAAATAAGTAGGTTGTAATAAACTAAAAAATAAGTAATAATATTAAATATAAATATAAGGTAGTTGCTAAGTAGCGAACTAGCGGTATTTATATTATAGTATACTTGTAAATCGCTTATTAATACTTATAGGATTATTTTTAAAGTTTTAAAGTCTTTTATTTTATAGTTTAAAGAAGTTGTTTTTCTTAGGAAGTGGTTATTAAAGAATAAGAATTATATTTAGCTATATATATTTATCTTTTAGGTTATCCTTAAAATAAGTAAAATATTAGCGAACTAATTATTAAAAAGATGCGGGATTAATCCTACCTAGTAGGTTATTCTCCTAATAATAGTATTTTCTAATTAAGTATACAAGTATATTTAAGTTTAGGGGGTTACTATTTTCGTTACTATTCTTTAGTAGTACGATATTGCCGAAAGATAAATATTTATATACAAATTAGTAATTTATTAAATTTAAAGTTTGGAAAAATTATTATAAATAGTCCTTAATAGATTTTAGCGCAGGATCGTTACTTTTCAATTCGATAAAAATAATTATACATACTATTTATAATTGTATAAAAAATCCCCTTCAAATTATATTGTACAATTATCTTATATTTTGAAAGGGTATTAATAGTTTTTAAGTAAGTATACTAAGATTTAATTATATTTATAGTATTAATTTGTAAAAGTAGCGGGACCGTATATTTATATTAATATATTTAGTATTTAGTATATAGCCGCTAGTTTTTACAAAGATACTCTACTTGTACTGGAGTAGTATGAGAAATAATTTAATTAATAGATTTAAGATATTTTTCTTCTATAGACCGGTTATATAGTATTATAGTTATAATTTATAATATTATATTATTATTTTGTAGGTATTTGTAAAATATTATTTAAAGATGTTTCTTATATAATAAATGTTATATAGTATCTTCCCTACGGTTAGTAATATTAAAGGTAAATTATATACCCTTTTGTTTAATTACTGAATTATTTATAATTATATATTTAAGTGCCCAACCTTGTAAACTACTATACTATTCAATTAGTACTTTTAAATATTTTTTAATAATTTTAATAGTTTAATTAGTTATAAGAAAGAAAGTAATAGGAAGTTAAGATCCGTAGTTATCCTATACTATAACTATAAAAAGAAGGAAGTGGTAATAGTTTATATTATACATTAAATCTATAATAGTAATTACGCCACGCTCTTATAGCGTTTTTAAGCTTTTATTTCTTATAAAGATTAATGCCTATATAGGCTTTTCCCTTCTTTTCTTTATTTTTAGGTTAATTTTTAGTAAAAAGATTTATTTACTTCTCTAGCTATTAAGGTTCTTAACTTTTTTAAAGTACTATTTATATTCTTACTAAGGAATATTATTTTTATTAATGTAGTATTCTTTCCCTTCTAATTTTAAATTAAATAATATAATAATATTTATAAGCTTTTTAGTAGTAAGGTAACGACTACCGTAGTAAATTAAACGTTCTCTATATACGGGATTATTATATTTAAAAATTATTCTTTCTATTATAATAGTAGGATGATTTATTAAAAGTAGGTATGTAGTATGCTCCTTAATAGTTTGCGGTAAAGTAATTTAATTATAGAGGTCTATATTGTAAGTATGTTAATTAATAATAGTAATTTCTATAGAATTATCTTCTTTAATTAACTATTTAAAATATATTAGGTAGGGTTGGGAGGTACAAATATTCTTTAATATTAATCCTTTTCCTTCGCTAGGTAGCGTTTTTTTCCAATAAAAGCGGTAATAGTAATAATGCTTTACTATAAATTTTAATACTATTATTAATAGTTTTTTTTTATTCGTATAAGAATTTCTTGGTAATTAGAAGTACAAAATCTATTACTAATTATAATTCTATTTATTAGGTGTAATATAGAATACTTTTACTTTATAATATCGCTGCCGAATAATTATTATATTGCTAGGGATATAAAGACTACTATTTAATAAATTTAGAATTATCTAAACTAATTTAATAAGGTTATAGCTCCGTTACTTACGTTGAGTATATTAGTTGGATATATTATTCTCTTTATTATTAGAATTAAAAATAAGCGAAAAAGGTACGGGAGAGGAGTTTAGTAAATACGGGTATATGTTTGCCAATTCTATATTTAAATATTAAGGAAATATAACCTTATTAAGTATATTAAATATATTAAGATTAGAATTAGGCGTAATATCTTTAATAATTATTTTTATAAATAATTAGCTAAAATAAGCTTTGTTAATAGGTATTAAAGAATCTAGTACTTTACGTTCCTATATCGGGATTATATTAAGTAAATAATTAGTATATAAGTAATTATAATATATAATAGTAAACCGTTTACTTATAATATAAGGTTTGTACGTAGTGGTTGTGTAGAGTAAATTGTACTTTAATAATATATAGTAGGTATAATATACAATAGATTACAATAAATAATAATATCTAATACAGTCGCGGTCACGCGAAATTTGTAGGTTTAATAATAATTGCGGGAAAACTGCGGAAATACAGCGCAAGCGCGGTACAAAGGTACAAAAATTATTAGTAGGCGCTTAAGGGAACTTTCAAATCTTGGGCAGAATGTCACTTTTGTGGCTGGTTAGGGACCTGGAAAATTGGGAGTGGGGTTCATTTTTGGGACCTGGATAGAATGCCCCATATTACACCTGGGGGATCAGTTGCTTAGCATTGCGGTCCCGTGAGCCGAGCTCAAATTGCGATCTTATCACAAGTTTTTATCTTGCCGTTAAGAGCTAGGGGGCTATTGCTCAGACCTCCAATCTCCCACAACGATGGTGCGATAGACGAGATGTACAGCGCAAGGGAGGAGAAGGAGAGGAAGTTTGCTCGGAGTTTTCTTATGACTACCGGGGGTTCAACTACAGTGTTCTAAAGAAGTTGACCAGGAGGCCAGCAGTGGCTCGATCCAACTGCCGATCCCCGTGATGCCTCTCAGCCAAAGGAAGAGAACCCGCTCGTTGTTCCGTCTGGTAACGCAACGGTGCAAACTGTGGCTTGTTGTCATCACCCGATAGCTTCCCACTGCATGACATGCATATCGATTGTGCATACGCGGCACGAGCGGGATCAAACGAAGCGAGAGAAACGAAGAGGATAAGTCTTTTCGCTTTGCCCTGCTGTTGCGGAGGAAAGGAGTCGTCAGGGTTTGTCGTTGTCCCCGAGACTACCAGTGCAGCGAACGGAATACAAACTTATTGGGGATGTCAAGGGGATGTTTGTCGGCGCCCGCCCCGCAAAAATAAGTGATGGGGTCTGCGATTCACGAATCCAAAAGCCAATCAGGACCCCTGTCAGCAATTTCGCTTCACGAGTGATTAGCAGGGCCCACCAATCAGAGACGCCTGGGACCTGAGCAGATTGCAGGCTCCTCCGGAGGTGGTAAGCGTGAGAGAACGAGTGGACGATAGGGACCCGACTGATTGTAGATCGCAGAGGCACTGGTTCTCTGATTGCGATCCAAGAGAATGAAACGACTCGAGCAAAGTTCTATGAGTTGTTGACTGATCAGCAACATCAAACACAATCTCAGAGTGAAGCCACACAACGATGAAGGTGAACGTGATCCCTTCAATTCCCGGCAGGCACATAGGTGCATTGTACACAAACTTGTGAGGTTAGGTACCTAGCTTCGCTTGGTTCCCCAGCTTGGGAAGTCTTGACCCGCATGCCGCATGGTGGCCGGAGTCGGCTAGGAGGACTGGGCAGGAACGGTCTGTCTCTGCAACCCAACATTGCGCTGGCATTTTCTCGACTCCTCTCAGCCTCTCAACTCCTCCTTCAACCTCTCCTCTTTTTTTTCTTCTCCCTCCTGCATCTTCCACACATTCTCCGTTGGAAGAACGCGCCTCTCTTTTTTCGCCCCGTGGTGTTGAGTCTCTGAGATCCATGATCATGAGCTCGTGACATGTTGACTCGCCCCTTCCCTTCCTTTTACTTTAGTCCCCCCACACAGCCCAGATATCGCATCCTAGATATCTTGCCATTCCTTCCACTTTGCAACTGATCAAAGTTCGCATTACGACAACGAGCGATTGACTTCCGCTCGACCAGACATTCATTTTTAGGCAATTCTCACGAAAGAGAAGACACCATCACACCAACATCTGCTTTACTTAAACGACGACGACGACGAGAGAGCGAGAGAGACGAAGGCGACGTGATTATTTCATCCGAAGAACTGGGGACCCAACACCATTACCCGAATCATCACGACTCCTACTCTATCCGGATATTCGCCCAACATGTCGGACCATAGGATTCATGTGCGCCATGCGCATCATCATCTGGAGCGCAAGGGCTGGGACGACGTCAAGTCATTTTGGAACAATGTATTTCTCCCCGAACAGAAAACGGAGGCTTTCACCACTAGAGTCGCGCAAACAGTGACCGACGAGAACTTCTGGGCGACAGCTACTGCCCAGGAAACCATTGCGACTAACGGGCCTCCTCTGACCGCCGAAGCTGCCCCTGCGACCACGACTGCGCACACCACTACACACCACAGCGCCGCCCCGCCATCCACCACGTTGTTGAAAGCTTTCACCACCAAGGCGCCAGAATCACCAGTGTCATCAGCGCCTGCAGAATTGCTCCCATCAGATGTCATGACGGACGAGATCAGGTCAACGGGAACCCTCGAGCTTGAGTCTACCTTGGCGGTTGCGTCGCCGACATCCATGAGTTTTGGAGCCGCCACATCCGCAACTGCTGCTCCAACGGCCACCGCCGCAAGCAACACTCAACAAGGGACCAGCAGTGCTGCCACAGCCGGTATTGCCATTGGTGTGTTGGCTGGTTTGCTGGCTGTCTTACTGCTGGTGTGGCTCCTCTTCACCAAGCGAAAACGCCAGATGGAAGCAGAGAAGCAACGCCTGGCAGATGACGAAAAGATCAACGGTCCCTTTTCCGACAAGAACGAGATCAAAGCCCCGACCGCCGCCCCGCAATTGAGCTTGCGACCCGCCAGTCAGTTCATGCCCACCGAAGTTCCAGAAAGGAGAACCAGCCGCGCCAACATGATGAACCCCAGCTCGAACGTACCTGGGTCCCCCCTCAGCCGTCCTGCAGGAGCTAGCGCTTGGGAGCGTCCGACTGTCAGCTCGACACAGACCGCTGGCGAAAGACCCGGCACTAGTGCGAGCTTCAACCCATTCGGTGATAATCAGCAAATTCCCGAAGAGTCTTCGCCAGTCAGCCCGGCTGGCGACTCGCCTGTCTCCGCTGGTGCTGCTGCTGGCGGTCTAACTCGGAAAACTTCCATCCGGAACGATGGATTCAAACCTCTTGATCTGACCAAGCCCCAACCTCTGCCGTTGAACGCCCACCCGCCCAGCCCTGCTGGAACCGACTATAGCATCAACACTGTTAGCCCTGGCCTACCACCTGGGCCCTCGGCTAGCGCTGCCGCCATTGCTGCCGCTGGTGGACCTGCACAGTCCACTGTCCATCGTGTCCAGCTCGACTTTAGGCCAACCCTGGAAGATGAAATGGCTCTTCAGGCTGGACAGCTCGTTCGTCTTCTGCACGAGTACGACGATGGCTGGGCACTTTGCATTCGCCTTGACCGGTCTCAACAGGGCGTTGTTCCCCGGACTTGCTTGTCCGCGCGTCCCGTGAAGTCACGGCCCCCCCAGGGCGGTCCTGGTTCCCGCGGGCCTCCAGTCAGGCCTAACTATGGGCCTGGAGGACCTGGCAATGGACCTATGAGCCCGAATGGCGGGCCTGGATACGGTCCTAACGGAGGGCCCCGTGGTCCTGGCGGACCTCCCCGTGGACCTCCTCAAGGTGGACCGCACGGCGGACGTCCTGGCCCTGGACCGATCAATACCAAGTTCATGAATCCTCGCGGCCCACCACCTCCCGGCTCGTGGTCTAGACCTCAGTCCCCCGCCGGGCCAATGATGCCCCATGATGGAACTATGAGCCCCAATGGCGGACATCCTGCCTCACTGGGTGGCAACAACCCCATGAGCCCGGTGCAGAACGGAAACCCCGGCTCGCCCGTTGACCGCCCCATCACACACGGCACGCAAAGCCCGGTGACCGCAAGTCGACGGATGACACCTCCCGGCCCCAGCCCAGTTGCCCAGGAGTACCGCCCAGATTCGCGAACCGCCTCCCCTGCTCCCCCGCCATCAGTGAGCAATGAAACACCACTAGGGCAGGCATATTAATAATGTATAAATTACAAAAACATGCCACAACGAACATATGTATTCAAGATATACGCCTTCATTCGGAGCAGACGGTCTCTCCAACTACACAAAGAAAACAAAAATAACGAGGCCATGCCGTCTATGAGAAGAGAGGAAACGGTGAGATTGAGGTCCCGTCACCAATGTTGTGGGAGGAAATCAAATTGGTACTCGCGCCTATGGCCTGCGAGGCTTTTTACCCACTTACTTTGCATCATTTTTTCCTGTTCATTCTTCCCGTACGCCTCTCAGGTGTTTTCGGGTGTTGGACTGTCTATATTTTCCTTTCAAAGTTTGGCACCTCTACTCGCTGGATGTGCGCTTCTTCTTTTGATGAAGCGCGGAGACTTGGATTGGTGCTTCACATTAATTTGATTTCGTGTTCGAGGCTGGGAACCGAGGAGTTGTTGATCTGACTGATGGGGCTGGGATACCATGGGCGGCCAGGCCGAGCAAGCCACCATATTTTCTTCTGTTCATTGTTGTGTTGAGTATGTATGATATTGCCGTATATTGGCGTGGAAGGGAGGATAGCTATCTGGAAAGCTGGATGTCTGGTGTTGTTTTTGATTTCAGCCTGGGGTTGGGAGGCTCATATGGATGTGTATACTGTGTATGGCTGATTTAGCATGATTTTGTAGCTGTATGAGATTTAGGGATGGTCAGGAGGCGTAAACGAAGCTGGGGTACTTATGTCGTCGAATATATGTCTTGTTACTGGCACACTCTGCTTGAATTGTTGATTAGTACTGTAGTGTCTCTCAGGCTCTCATCTATTTTGATGTACGGAGGCACAATATGAAGCCGCTGTGATTTTACCTAATGGTTCAAACGCAATGAACGCATCACCCGCTTACAAGCCGAATAGGCCTGTGAATTAATGCAACGACTCCCAGAAACACCGCTCTGCTATGCGCTGAATATTATAACAAATTTCAACGGAACGCGGCTACCCCCCAAGAGTCTCCAAACAACGACTGACTTTTAAAAGATGAAGGCCAAGTAAGTAGGATCGTAAGACCATAAACTCCTACCGAAACGATCAGTGCTTCTACCAGTCAACCGCCCACCCGTTCTCATTCAAGAACTCCTCGCAAGCGTGCTTAAGGTCGATGTTGGGCAGCAGATCCTTGATGGTCAGGGGTGTTCTCGTCAGCGGATCCGTCTCGCTTCTTCGGAGGTGTTCCTCAATGGATGCGCGTTCGTAGGATTTGCCTGTTTTTGTCTGTTTTTTTTTTTTTTTAATCCAAAGTCAGTCACCACCACTCCACCCATTAGACTTGGATAGGAAGAGAAGGAAGAGTATGCAGAAGAAAAAAAAAAGAACGAAAAAAACCTTACCATCACAGGATCAACCATGACCTGAAAACTGATATCATCAATCGCCCAATCTGGCGGATTCGGTCTTCGCTGGTTTTCCTTATCCCTCGCCCTTTCAAAGACGGCTCGTATCCTCTCGATTTTCTCCTCGTACATCTTTTCCGTCTCCTTCCTCTCCTCCTCATCCTCATCCTCACCACTAGAACTAGTCTTCAGCAACCCGTCCATCTCCCTCCTCAGCATCTCCACCACCTCGCCCTCCAATTCCTGTTCTTCCCTCTTCCTCAACTTCTCCCTGTGCTCCCACCTCTCCTTCTTGCACTTGAGCACCTGACTCGTCACGGCCGCCAAACTCTTGTCGTGCGTGTCTGCGCAAATCTTGTGCGCTTCCAGCGCGTAGGCGACAGCTTGGTCGTAGTTTTTGAGCGGGAGGTGCGCTTGGGAGAGGTAGTAGAGGGCTTTGAAGTTTTTGCTGCTGCCGCCCGGGGTACTGGTACTGGTACTGGAGGACAGGCGGAGACATTCCTCGCAGTCTTCGATTACCGAGTCCCAGCGAGACATTTTGAGGCGGGCCATGGCGCGGTTGGTGTAGAGGAGGGGGTTGGTGGGGTCAGCGAGGATTCTGTGTGTTTTAAAAAAAAGGGGGCTGTTAGTTTTGGTATGGTCTTTGGGTTGGGCCGAGAGAGATGTGTGGCGGCGGTGCTGAGGATGATGGGGAATGGGATGGAGGAAGCGGGAGGAGCAGAAGGAAGGACTTGCGCCTTGGTGTACAACGCCTCGGCAGCGACGTAGTCGCCCTTTTGGAAGTGGCGGTTACCCTCCTCTTTGAGGGCTAGTGAGGATTGTCCTGACATCTTGTTGGTGATTGTCGCTGCTTGATAAAATCCGTACGCGCTGGTATCTCGGCTGAGAAGAGGTGCTTTTGTTTCCGCGAAAAGACACGCTGGTCTAGAGGAGAAGGAAGGTAAGAAACGGAGGCAGGGAAAATGGCTCGGAGTTGATTTTGAACAACTGTCGCCTAGCTAGTAAAATGCGGTTGAAATTCGAGTGGGAGCCGGCAAGTAGATTCGGCGGTCTAGGCGACGAGAAGAGCACTAGGTCGGAGGTTGAGGAGGTAGATACGAGTGTCCTCAAGGAGGAGGACAGTGATGCTTGAATTTGGGGCCGAGCAACGGTTGGCGCATGCCTTGGGATCCGGGGAAGACTTGCGAAGAAGCTTGCAGATCCTGGGCGGCCGTTCACACAGACGAAACCGCGGGGAGATATCGATCGATTGACCCCAGAATCTTTTGAGGTTCGAGGTAGAAAGAGAAAACTGATGAAGAGATTCGGAGTTCATCTGAAGCTGCCGCGACGTGGTGGGGTTCTGGGGCTGTTAGCTGTTGGGGAATCTGGGGTCTTGATCCACATCCCGGCAGGGGCCGGATAGACGAGACGACAGTATCTGATTAGTGTTTCTGTTAGTGCAGCGTAGCGTTTTACCAAGATACAGTAACAACAGGGAGGGACTGCTACCTCGCTTAAACCACCTGCATTTGTAAACCACCCAAATGGGAACATTCTAGAAGTCAGCTTGTTCCCTCGGCATCACTGTCAGGACATCACGGTGAGAGATGATTGTGTCACCAACCAGCATTTTGTTAGGACCCTAACAGCGACTCACTCTTGTGGCTGTCTTGCAATTGGCATTGCATGCCCGTGATATCCAGCTAGGTATCTGACCTGTAAATGCATCGTGAACCCCGTCGTCAGGCCAGCCATCAAGGTTCTTCTCACAAACATTAGGTATGAATATCAGACGACATCTTTGATCGCTTCAGTTCCGTACACGCTGAAGAACAATTCGGTACTTCACCTCTACATCGGTCTCATACCGACCCGAGTTGATTTGCTAGTCTTCTAATAACCCGAACAGGAACAATAACCCTCCGTATGTGCAATATCACATATAAGAAAAAGCCGACCCTTTTTCCTCATCCATAACCGAGAGATAAACATGTCATAATCTCATACATCATGAACCCTTTTCCCCCAACCCTCCCTACCTTTCTCCATCGTAAGATTGCCCCACCCATGCCAGCTATATAAGCTCCGACCGACCGACGTACGGCCACATGTACAAGGCGCAGTAGGCATGTATACATGGATCGTGTACAAAGGTGATGAGACACCATAATCAAAAAAGTAAGAATATGTATGCAGACATATAAGCGAGCGTTCGTTACCCGTGTCATTTCATTCCGCCTCAAGGGGGGTATCAACCAAAAAGGTGCTTTGTTCCTTTCCCGCTGCCGCTGTTGTCGTACTCCGTCCCTCTCGTCTCGTTTGATCCCAGCCGATCCCAGCCCGCAGTTGTTTCCCTCCATCCTTTGTTGGGTTTAACTCAACGCGTATCGGAATCAAAGCAGATCAGATGAAACCTCCACCGTCTCCACGATTCGAACTCGACTTTGAAGGTGACGACGGACCCGACCCACTCCCGTTGTTGTCGCTGTGACGTTCATGCTCCCTGATTCTTCTCAAACGTTCCCGGTACGAATTAACGTCGCTCCTTGATGACCTGTGCTGCTGTCCCTGTCCCTGTGATTGACCCTGCCCACCACTTTCCATATGCTCAGTATACTCCTTTTCCACATCCTCCTCTTCCCCACCGGGATATTGCTGCTCTCTACCCCCTGCTACTCCGGTTGCTCCTGGGACACGTGGCGGACTATGCGTGATGCTTGGGCCATAGCGCGATTGCTTCTCGTCCATATACCGCCCGACCTCCTCAAACTCTTCGGACCCGTCGTCGCCATCGTCGTCGTCATAATGCTTCGATGTGCGCGGCGTGGTCCGGAAGTCGCGCGAGTCGCCCCTGACGAGCCCTAACGTCTCCTCCTCGGATGCGCCCCGTCTTATGTGTGGCGTGGAGAGGCCGCGGTGAGTGGTCAGCTTATCTCTGTCCTGCTTGTCGGAGGAGTGAGAGGATTTGTGCGAGTTGGCGCCGTCGCTTTGCGTGTGGGCGTGCTGGCTGCGTCGATCTCCACGCTTGAAGACGCTCTGGAAGGAAAACTGCCTGGTGGCGCCCGTTGGTGTTCGTAGGGGAGGAGGAGCTAGAGGAGCGGCGAGCGTGCTGCTAGATGGGTGGTTGGCATCGGTAGAAAATTGTACTCGACGCCCGGAACTGGAGATACTACCTCTGCTTCCTGGTCTGTCGTACAAATATCCCTTTGAGGAGGGCCCGGCAGCGGATCCTGGTGGGTAATACCCTGTTTCCTCGTCAAAGTCTTGCGCCGGCACTGCAATCTCGGTCAGCTGAACGGGGTGCATAGGACTTTGCACCTTGTTGGATGCTGAAGTGGGGCGAAAGTTCGGGTGGCCAGGGAGGAGGACGCTGCGCGCTCGGTTGCGGATAGTGCCGACAATACTAGAGAGGGCAGGTGAAGCGGGTCTAGCGGCTGCAGCAAGCTCTTCCTCGGTCGGGAAATGCGACCATCCGAGGGGCGGGTGTGGTGTCGGCATCGGAAGTTGGAAGGTTGCCGAGGTCGGAGCTCTTGATCGCTGACTTGCCGAGTTGCTTCCCAATACCGTCTTTCTCCGCCTTAGCCCATCCCATTCGTACACAGGACCGTCCTCGCCAACTGTCTCAAGCGCCTCCCTCATCTTTTCTTCGTGTAATCGCTTCAGTTCTTCCATCTCCATCTTCTGCTGCTTGGCCGACGATAAACGTCTGACAATTGCAGCGGCACCTCTGAGGGCGTCGGCCTTTGGCTCGGTTTCGGGCTGCTCCTGTTCTGCGACTGTGCGAATCTGGTCCAGGTCTCCAGAAAGGACAGCGGCATCGGGCACATCTTTGGCGGATTTGGATAGCTGGAGTAGAACGACACCAGAACAGATTGTCAAGAAACCGAAGACTACAGTGACAATCGAGACAGCGGTGCCCTTGAAGCCCTTGAACAGGACGGCCGAAGTAATGATGGTCGTGCTAGTGAAGTACACGTAATAGGTTGGAGTGACCATGGCGGCATTGAACAAGTTTAACGCTTTCTGTGAGGAGCGTAAGTATGTCAGTGGGCAAGCTGAGGCGACCCGCGGGACTTACGTTCAAGTAAATCAGCTCAGTCAAAAGACTGGCAATGAAAAAGACAATAACAATGTAGATGAACCATCCCTTGAATTGTGCCTCACCTCCGGCCTGAGCAACGATGGCCGAACCCAAGCCCTGAGTAGAGACGACACTGAGACCACCAATCCAACTGCAGATGGAGATGTATACCAACATGTTCTTATTGCCCCATCTCGGGCCAGCATACCAGGCCGCAATTACTGCGCCCAGAACAATGACACCGGCATATGACAGAAAGCTTGGCGTGACGACGAATTGCTGAAACTGCTGAATGTTGGCGACAGCGGACTCTTGTGGTGCGTTCAGGACAATGACGACGGAGCCGACAATGCACAGAAAACAAGAAACCTTGCCGATCATACTCAGCCGTTCCTTGAGGACTATGGCGGATCCGACAGTAGCGACGACGACGGAGAGGGCGCCGAGAGGGGTGACCAAGATGGCGTCCACGAACATGTAAGCGGCAAAGTTCAAAAGCTCCCCTATCAGCATGAGGATCATGCCCGCCCACCACCAAGCGTTCTTGAGGTATCCGTAACCCTCGCCGGCCACCTCGTTGTACTTCTCGTTGGCTTTTAGCAAGCCCATCTTCTTGACTACGAAGGAGGTACCGATAAAGAAGCCGGAGCCGACGGCGAGAAGGATGCCGATGATTTTGTAGGAGGGCGGTCGAGTGGCATGCAGGTCCGCAGCATCATCTGCACGAGCGTATACATGATGTGCCACTTCGAGTATTTGCGCAGCTTGGTCCATGGCTGCGCGCGGAGGAAAGCCCGCGACGACCTAGAATCGCCGGTGTGGAGGAGCAAGAAATGCCGGTTTTTGGTTGCTGCTCAGGCGACACGTTGCGACTGTGTATGAGTGAGGCAGTCTTTGCCGTTGTGAAGAAACACAGCATAAACCAGAGAGAAAAAACACTGAATTCCGTACCCAGTCAAGGAGAGTCCCGATCAAGGGAAGAAGGGCGGCCAGGGATGTCGTCGACCCGAAACGTAGCGTTACCGCCAACTCAACAAGTCCAGAACCGTTTGAAGAAGGACGGGCAGATCTGAAGCGCGGCTCCGCAGGCGTGAATGGCTAGACTCAAAGCTAGTAAAAAGGTTCGGCGTTTATTTCTGGAAAGGCCAACAGGACGCGGTGAAAGTACGTGGTTGGTTAACAAGACAAAACGAAACAACACAACAAAGGCTTTGTAGATAGACGTCGACTGTCGAAAACCAAAAAGGGGTTTGCCAGCGTTGTGGAATTGTAAGCTCGGGCTTAGAGATGGGGCTTAGAGACGGGGAATAAGGCGACCCGGATCGTCTGACGGAGACGCAGTGATTGACGGAGTTTTAAGAGGGCCGGTGGAGTCGGTGTCGTTAACGAGCAAGTTGAAACGGTTGCTGTTTGCGAGCGAGATGAGCCTCGTATAGTAGTGTAGAAGAGATCAGGTAAAGTCCAACAACGAGCAGTACTAAAGACCCCGAGTGTCCCGGGTCGCGTGCCCGGCCGACAGTTGTGTATACGTAGTTTAATCTGTGTGTTTGTGCAAGGTTGAGTCGGAAAGTCGGAGGTCAGGCCAGATAGGCTGAAGAATGTCCAAGGACTTGGGTCCTGGTGCCCTGAATCCTGATAATATGGAAAGGCTGGAGGCTGGACTTTTCGTTGCCAAGCCTTCTGGCTGGAGTCAGGATCGTGGGGTATATTTTTAGTGTAGGGTGGCGGGGGGCCTGAGCACGCCCGGAGGAGGGGGGATGTTTGGATCAGAAAGATAAGCTTCGAGATGGTCGGGTCAGTCCATGACGCTTCAAAGCCCAAGTCCAACACCAGAAGAAACCAAAAGGAATGACCGAAAAGGAAAACAAAGAAAGTAGTGATAGGTAGGTTAGGTAGGAGCGGAAAGATTTGAGGAGACGAACTCCGGGCTTGCGCGCGCGCGCCAAACACAGCCCAAAGCCAGTGGCCCGAACATGGAACTGAGACGGGAAGGAAGCTGAAACCCAGCGCCGGCCCCTCCACCGGCCGGTACCTTGGTGGGATGCAGTGGGGCCTCCATGACGAACTAAGCGACCGGAAACCCAGAATGCATCTCACCGGGCAGCTTGCCCCTGGTCCCATGCAGTCGATTTCCGGTACCCTTACTACACTACCTCTACCTACATCCGCCGAAATCCAGGGCAGTGCGTTCGGAAGGCACAGTATCCTGTGGTCTGGGCCCGATACCTAGAGGTAGTCTTCCACCAGGACCCGGGAGGTCAGTCAGCCCCGTTGGTCAGGTACTGAAGTAGGTATTCTTTCCGACGAACGAGGCCAATCCCACGACCTGCCAGTCATACATAGGTTGTCTGCTTGCTGGGCTTATGCCTGCGAGGGCAGGGCAGTGTCAGCGCCCCTTTTTTCGTGCTCGTGTCCCATATCAAATATTGATTACGAATTCTGGAAGGCTGAGTGAGTGCCTTATACCCTATGCATATGTCGGTGTGTGGGTGTGACCGACATACAGAAGCACATAGCCCGTACACCTACCTACCTACATGTTCTTGTGTGCAGCTGTATGTTGAAGAAGGCCATGTGTCTGAATGACCTCATAGGCTCTTGGCCATTATCTCTGGCGCCAGACCTGCAGCACATCGTCGCGCCTTTTGAAACAAAACAATGGCCAACCGATTCGCATACCCAATACATACATACGTACACTATGTATGTACACACGTTCATCTTAGTCTCAATTCCCCCTAGGCCAAGATTCCGTGTGGAATGTGGAAAAAGAAGCGATTTTCCATAGGGCAGACCGATCTAACCCGGCTCCCGGACCCAAAAACGTTTCAAGAAAAGCCCGGAACATTTTCTGGAACAGCGAGCGGTATCAGGAACAGAAATGATGCTAAGGATACTTGAGACCTGAAAAGACGGCCTTTCCATCAAGATTCATGACCTTGTGTCGTCATGCGCGCCAACTAAAAAGATCGTCTTTCTTCCTCGATGCAGGTGAGTGTCCAGATATCTTTCTTCACATCTGACTTCTTTCTATTGACGTTCCATAAGTCTTCCTTGAAGGGTTTGTATTTAAAAAGGAGCTAACCAACAACCTCAACATATATAGCTAACCTCTTACTACCCATCTACCAACAATGGCGTGTGTAATGTTACGGTTAAATGTCTTTTTTTTTTTTTTTTTTTTTTTTTTTTTTTTTTTTTTTTTTTTTTTTCCTCCAACGAATCGATGTTAGGCGCTTAGCGACTCCCTTCTTGCGACCCGATGCGATGTGCGTGTTCGGTATGGCGATTTGACTGTTCGGGTGTAAGATTCTCGCTCGATGCACAGACAGCACATCAGCAAAAGCTGTGTAACCAACCCATGGCCCGGATCCCAGACAACGGTCGACCGGAGGCCTCGCATTGAAGAACACTGAACAAGTCGATAAAGAGTTTTGAGAGATAGTAATCAGTAACCAAAACACTTGAACGCCGCGACCTGATGTGCGGCGCATGTGGCTGGGAAATGTATTCAGGAGGCGCCTTAATGACATCGTCAAGGACATATGGGCTTCGCCATGGGAGTCGTAGCAATAGATGGTAATATATAGTGCGGCAAAGCATGACGCGCCACTTCCTTCATTATAGCTGGAGGAGCAAGACAGGCAGGCGTTGGTGTAGAAGGAAAGAAAACTAGATCAGTAATCTCTAGATTGTAGTCCCGCTCCAGCAAAAGAGTAAAATGGTATTATGGTAAACCAAAGACATACTATGTACAAATGTGAATATGATATGGATGCATGCCGACTCGGTCTTTCCAAAGAGCTTTACAAGGAAACGCCCTCTCCGACCAGCGTGTGTATGAGGGTATCCCTTTTGGCACTCGTCATTCGTTCCCGCCCCAAACGCCGTTGTCTTATTGAAGTAAAATTCGTTCGCCCAGCTCCAACGCTCATCACGTAGAAATCAAAAGCACCCACCCATCCAACCCTTGCTCCCAGTAGTGCTCGAGACTGGTCAGGTCCTCTAAGCCTTCACCACCCAACCCGCATTCACCATAAAATCAAAAATCCTCCCTCCCTTCTGCTGATCGACTCTGCAAATGTCCTTGGCCTGTTTCCTCTTCAAACTCCCGTTGCCCTTGACGGCTTCCTTGAGGATCTGCTCTTTGATCATCAGGTAAGGCTTAGGCTGAATCCTGAGCACCTCGCACAGCTTGACCTCTTCCGGCGTAAGGAGGTGAAGGTCGGGAGCATTGTCCTGAGAGAGTGAAAGAGGTTGTATCCCGGGAACAGGTTGTGGTAAGGACTTGTGTTTTGACGGCGTAGTGTCGCCATTGGCAACGATTACACTTTCACTGTTGACTTGCCCGGGTTCCACTTTCATGCTGCAGAGTTTCTCGGCCTCGGCGATGACATGAGGTGACTGCATACGCGCCGGCAGCTCAGGTTGAACCAGCAGAGCCGCGCCACTTGGCGGATCTGGTGGTGGCGGTTGTTTGCTGCGCTGAGCACTCGCCAGTCGTTCGCGGTCCATGGAACCCAGCGGTATTGATTTCTGGATTCGTGCCTGCTTCTCCTGCTCATACTTCTCGCCGCTTCGTAGATCACCAATCCGGAGACTACGCCATTCCTGTAGTTGTGCAATTGCCTGCCGCAGGTTGAGCTCGTCAATCAACCCTTGACAGAACTGTTCAAAGTCGACGCGATTCATCATCCGCGCAAAGGGTTTCGCCTTGTTCAGAAGATCACGTTCCTCCTTCGACCTCTTCTTTTCTGACTTTGTGTTTTCCCTGTAATCAAGCAGGTTGTGCTCGAAAATAACCTTCTTCCTCTCGACTCGTTGCGTCAGCCGGCAGTTGTAGATCTCCATGACGGTGAGTTTGAGCTCCATCTCCGGTTCCAGCTCGCCTGTGCGTGGGTTAATTCCATCTCCTGGGTCGAACTGCATGAGCTGGACAGCCTCTTCCGCTTCGTTGCAGAACTCGGTCTCGAACTCCAAACGTCCTGGCATATATCCTTGAATCTCGTGGCATGATGGGACACTGGCTGTCGGCTTCGTCTTCGCTTGGAGGGTTGGGGCGTTCTTAGCGGCTTCCCTCCTTTCCTCGATGCGTCGCTTCTTGCGCGCCTGAAATTCTTCTCTAGAGATCTCGTTTGCCAGTTCCATGTCATGGGGACTGCATCGTTTCGGGAGGGGAAAGTTGGGCGAGTCGACGTAGACCTGGAGATAGTGGTCGCGTACCTCATCCTTACTTCGGTAGCCGCCGATGTGGTCCGCAATGTCGGCCCACGAACCCAAACCGTAGATCTGCGCGCCCTCTAGAAGAAGGAGCTCCTCGTCCGCGCCCCATTCTCGGTCGAAGATTGGAAACGAGTTCTGTTCGATTACTCGATAGGGATGGGTTTGCGGCTGATGCGCATTGCTGGACGCTCCTTGCGCAAAGCATTGGACACAGAGATCATATTCATTGCAAGCGCTGTGTGCACACCTAATTCGGACCTGTGCGAAGTGGAAAGATTAGCTGGCTTGTTGTTGTTGTTGTTGTTGTTGCTTGTTGTTGTTGTTGTTGGGAGCCAGAGGGCTGGAGTCCAAAGAGGTTCCCCAACCCCACAACGTCTCGTGATTCGCGCGACGCGAGGTCTGGGGCAGCGGTAGCGGCCGCATCGGAAGGGAGACATGACGTCCAAGCACGAGAACAACGGTTGAGGCTTGTTAACTATATGAAAACACAAACCTACCGTAGACGTTATGTCTGCTGAGCAGACGTCGCATACATACTTGACACCGCCCTCGCCGCCTCGTGCAGCGATCTTCTTTCGGATGACGCCCATGGTGGATGTCCCCGAGGGACGGGGGTTAGGATAATCCGATAATGCGCCGGGCGGGAGGAGTCAGAAAGGGGGTTAATGTAGGCCAAAATCCACCGCTAAAAGCCCCATAGATGGCATTGACAGAAAGCGCAGAGGTTCGCGAGGCTTCTGTAATGCGTATATTGATGAACCAGGTGGCTGATGGCGAGTTGTCGATGGACTTATGTCGACGACCTTGATGGCGACGATGTTGCGGTTGTACGAGGGGGTGATGCGCCTGGAACCAAGCAGGGCCAGGGGCTGCATTCCCACAATGCAACATCTCAATGAGCGGACAGGTGGCTCCAGCTGGAAGCCCACTTCCCAGTCATTCTGGCTCCGACGTTGTCCCGAGTTGCCGCTTCTACGGCACAACCCTAACCCGTAGCTACTTTCTTGCGTACCATGTACTGTAGACAAAGGAACGGTGAGCTTGACGAACAAAGGATATCACACATCAGAGATCGGGCGGAAAAGTACCAAGGTATATCCTGCAACAAGTTCTGGCAGAACGGTCAGTCAACTTTCAAGCTCGCCGTCTGTCAGATCTGCTACACCCACACAAGGTGGTACGTATGTACTGTAGTGTGCCTGACTGATGGATCAAAGTCCCTTGTCAAGTTGGCGCACAGCGAAGCATGGAGCGAGTGCAGCCGCTCCACTAACATCATGCCCCTGGTGCGGAGGAGCCCCACAAGAACTTGTTTAGACGCGGGGTTGCTTCCATTGGTAAATCGGTGAGGGGTAACGACCAACGAGGGGACATTTCGAGTTGCTTGCGAATTGGGGATCATGGTGGTGATGTTTTTGTTCCTATAAATTATGCCATGTTTTCACCCGTATTGTAACGAACTCAGCCCCCCTTGTATGCTTATCCTCTGAAGAGCATCAGATCTTGCAGTATTTCAGTGCTTGAGTTGATACACGATACGGTGAATCCCAATTGACGTCCAGTCGCTCACCCTGTTTCTCCGGGCGCACTGGAGGCTGAAGCAGCTTAGAGGTAGCCCTCCACACTTCCATAACAGTACAGTAGCTGAAGTAGGTAGGTACACATTGATGGAATATGAATTTCATCCTGATGCAGGCTGCTGTCTGATAATGACAGTGCCTTTTGCGCCTCAGAAAACTCGGGAAAGAAGCGAGTTCGAATGCTCATCAAAGGTTGCACACCAGTCCGAGCCAGTGTATCACTATCAGGCAAGCGACTTCATTCCTCCCTCTAAATAAACGGTCCGTTGATCTGTAGGGTGCTTCTAGGCAATAAGGCCGAAGAACACCGAACAGATCGGATCATTTTTCATCTTGTCTGCTACCCGGCCGTTGTACCCATAAAAACAATCCGGTAAGTGTGACCAGGTTGCCTCGGGGATGCTATCCCCGAGCATATGACTACACTTCAAAAGTGCAAAATACCAACCACCAATCTACATCCTTGAACACCTCACTTATAAGAAAATTGATTTCCCAATCAACACCCTTGATTGATCGCAAGCCTTCTTTGCCAATTCCCACATTGTTTTTTTCCTGAAAGCCTCTTGAAGCGCAACCATGACCGACAAAGTGCTCGACGACATTTCGCATCGTCGCTACAACCCGCTCCACGGCTCTTGGCTGCTTGTATCGCCTCACAGGACAAAGAGGCCATGGCAGTGAGTCCTCGATAGCCACACCGGAAAGAAAGAAATAAGGCGGATTTGAATTGACGAATTATAATCAGAGGACAGCAAGAGGCTCCAGCCCTCAACAAGCTTCCTGAGTATGATCCCCAGGTGCGTAATCCCCGTCCCTTTATGACTTTATATTACTCTCACTCACTCTAACTGCAACCCAGTGCTACCTTTGCCCCGGCAACAAGCGCGCCCAAGGCGACTCCAACCCGCACTACAAAAGCACATTCGCCTTCGTCAACGACTACAGCGCCGTCAAAGAGGAACAGCAAGAGTACCACCCTCAGAAGGACGCCGCCGGTGATGGCGACGATGACATTGCCTCTCTCCTCCTGCAAGCGCAGCCCGCCACAGGCCGGTGCTACGTGCTCACCTTCTCCGCCAAGCACGACACCACTTTGGCGGACATGAGCGCGACCGAGATCGTACCCGTGATCGAGACCTGGACGCGCATCTACGCCAGCCACCTGTCTGCCTTGCATCCGCTCAGGGACGCCGCCGCGCGCTCGCTCTGCGAAATTCCGCCTAACCCAGACGGCGAAGTCGAGCCCGCGAAAAAGCAGCAGCTTCGGTACATGCAGATCTTTGAGAACAAAGGCGCGGCCATGGGCTGCTCGAACCCGCATCCGCACTGCCAGATCTGGACGACGAGCACGCTGCCCGAGGAGCCGGGCAAGGAGCTGGCGCAGATGACCAAGTACCACCGTGAGCACAAGGGGAGGCATCTACTGGAGGACTACGTCAAGGTGGAGATGGCCAAGGGCGAGCGTGTGGTTTGGCAGAACGACGGGTTCTTGGTGGTCTGTCCTTGGTGGGCCGTCTGGCCGTTTGAGGTGCTCGTCATTGCGAAGAGACATGTGCGCGCGCTGGTGGAGCTTACGAGTGAGGAGAGGCTGCAGTTTGCCGAGGCGGTGCAGGAGGTTACGAGAAGATATGATAACTTGTTCGAGACAAACTTTCCGTATAGTAAGTTTTACCACCCTCTGCAACTGCCCGAAGGAGAGAAAGGGGGAAAAGAGCTAACGATATGAGAAGGCTCGGGTATTCATCAGGCGCCGTTGGATTGCACAGAGGAAGAGGCTGAGACGAGCTGGTTCCATATGCATTTCTACCCTCCTCTTCTTCGGTCTGCTACCGTGCGCAAGTTCTTGGTCGGGTACGAGTTAATGGCTGAGCCGCAGAGGGACATCACTCCGGAGCAAGCGGCTGCGCGACTCAGAGACTGCGGTGGTGAACTCTATCGCAAGTCGTTGCAGTAGTGGAACTGTATGATACGCTTGCTTCGCTTCTTGACCGAAAAAGGGTATTAATTAGTAGTACATCTTCCAAAGCCTATGGTCGGAGTCTCATTTCACTTAATACGTGATCGCGCTTAGTATGGTCAAGATCCACTCGCCATTCCTTTTTGGTAGCCATATACTGCTTCGTCCATTAAATCCCAAAGACCAGCTGGTAGCTGCACCTGTCTTTTACTGGACGTAGTAACCATACTGCAACACCATCCACAACGTACCGCCATACGCCGCCAAGAAGGGGAAGATCTGAGGTCCGCTGAAACGCAGCGTCTTGTAGATGAAGAACTCGCTCGTAAAGTGCACGGCGGCGATGACATGGGTCCAGATACCGAGCTTGTACAACGACTCGTTCTCGAGGTTGTAGCTCGCGTAGAAGCGGATGATGCCGGCCATAAAGGTGTAGGTACCGAAGACGCGGGCCGCCAGCGGCGTGACCTGGTCCTTGGCAGCCGCCTCCTTCTTCTCCGCCTCTGAGGGCGAGACGGGCCTCAGCACGTCCACGCTGTCCTCCGGGCTGAACTTGCCTTTTGCGGGCGGCAGGGAAGGGTTGGGGACGAAGCGGCCGTTGTAGAGGCGTCGTGTGTAGTGGAGAGTAGTGTAGTTTTGGAGGGCGTTTCCCATAGCTACGATGGAGACCTGGACGAAGAGTGTGTTAATTGCGAAACATGTGAAGAGTCAGGAGGACCAGCAACCGTCAACTTACGAAGAAGAGGTAGTAGGGAAGGAGACCCTTCTCGCCCGAAGGCAGGAAAGCCTTGATAGCGTCCATTTGGTTCAAACAGTTATGAAGCGGTTTGTCGTCAGGGAAGAAAGCTTTCGTGAGTCCAGGATATTTGTATTGAGAAGACCTTTTGTTGTTGAGGTGTTAGTTACCCTTCCTGTTGCAGCTCTCCATTTGTTCCAGCGACTCGAGGATCGGATGGAAACCACACTTCGGGCCACTCTCAAGCGCGAGAGACAGGGGTCATCGTAGCATCATGGACACAGGTCCACAGGCATTGGACGACATTTGGAGACAACAAACAAATTCCGCCAGGCTCCCCCTTTTCCTCAATCCATTGGCCCATGGCCAGCTCCGTCGGAGTTCAATGGCGGCGTCGAGTGAGTGATGGTTCGGCAAAAGCGGAGACAGCCCAGCTGCCCAGGTCCTCTCGCCGGGGCCGCGGGGCGGGACGTCTCGAAAATCTTGGCGGCTGACACATGCAAGTGTACAGTAGGCGAGTCGACCCCAGGTCCCCCAAAAAGTTCCCAACATTTATTTGCGGCCGGATCCAACTTTGAAAGTGTCAAAACTCCCCGATCCAAACCAAAGGCGTTCCATCATCATCGACTTTCGCCGACAGTCCGTACGCAATGGATAAGGTTGCCGAGATCTGGGGCACTGTCCCTCAATATGGCCAATGGGCCCTTGCTGGCATCGGCGCCCTTTACGTCGCTACTCGCGTCGGCGCTTTCCTCCAGCTGCTCCTTAACGCTTTCATCCTGAGCGGCACCAACGTACGTCTTTCCGCAAACTTACTCGGGACTGAAGATATTCAGGTGAATGGGGCTAACATAAACCTTAACAGCTCCGCAAGTATGGCAAGAAGGGCACCTGGGCTGTTATTACTGGTGCCTCCGATGGTCTCGGAAAGGAGTTCGCCCAGCAGCTCGCCTCCAAGGGCTTCAACCTCGTTCTCGTCTCTCGCACCCAGTCCAAGCTGGACGTCCTTGCTAGGGAGCTCGAGCTCAGATGGGATGGTTTCAAAGCCAAGACTTTCGCCATGGACTTCTCCAAGGACGACAATTCCGACTATGAGCGTCTCGCCGAGCTCATCAAGGGCCTCGACATTGGTATCTTGATCAACAACGTTGGCCAGTCCCACAGCATCCCCGTTCCTTTCCTCCAGACCGACCGCGACGAGCTCCAGAACATTGTCACCATCAACTGCCTCGGCACACTCAAGACCACCAAGGTTGTCGCTCCCATCCTCGCCCAGCGCAAGAAGGGTCTTATCCTTACCATGGGCTCTTTCGCCGGTGTTATGCCCACCCCCTACCTTGCCACCTACAGCGGCAGCAAGGCGTTCCTCCAGCACTGGAGCAGCGCTCTCTCTGCCGAGCTCAAGGACCAGGGCGTCGATGTCCACCTTGTTGTCAGCTACCTCGTTACCACTGCCATGAGCAAGATCCGCCGCACCAGCCTCCTCATCCCCAACCCCAAGCAGTTCGTCCGCGCTGCTCTCGGCAAGGTTGGCCTCAACAGCTCCGAACCCTTTCCCAACACCTACACCCCCTGGTGGAGCCATGCTGTGTTCAAGTGGGTGGTTGAGAACACTGTTGGTGCCTACAGCTACTTTACCCTCAGGCTGAACAAGAACATGCACATCGACATCCGCGACCGCGCTCTCCGCAAGGCCGCTCGTGAAGCCAAGAAGCAGTAAGCGCATATCGCAGCTTCTAGCTACCATGCTGCTCACGTGAAGCTGGGAAGGAGCATGGACTTGTGGCATGATGGGCTCTAGCCAAAAGACACCTTCTATTAGGCTGCGGTACACCCACCCTTGGGACCGTGTATCTGTTGTATAGAAAATGGGGAACTTCGCCCCGTTTTGAGCAGACGAGTTCATGCTGTGAGTGGAATGTACAGAAAAGTTAAAAGATGATAATTGAACGATGATCATGAAGCAACTATATCTTTGCATAATATTTTCTTGGTATAGATCAAGAGCAGTTGCTGTCTGCCGTTGATATTCAGAGTTGCAAATCCGACTTCTGGTGACGGGCATTCGATGACGTTCTCGACGATGATTGGACGGTTTTGATATTTCATAGGCGGTAGAAAAACATGCTTCCAAAAGGAGGTTAGCGCCTCTTCTGTGGTCCAACTCCATGCTCCAGCACACAGGCGCGTCCAAAATTCGCGTTTCAGGTCGCAGGTCCCAGTTGCCAGCCGCGAAACGCCCGCCCTGGGCACCAATGATTCCTGCCCGGTCGCGGTACGTACCGCTGTCCCAGTTCTCCAGCCAAAAATTGTTTACGGTAGCCCGCCGGAGCGGGCCAGCCTCTTCAATCTTCTGCTGTTCATCCACAGTCCACCTTCGACAGTGATTGCCCAATCGCGCGCAGAGCTTCCTTGCTCTCAACACCACAACAACAACTCAAACGCTTTCACCTCAAGCTGTGGTCGCCGATCCTCGACCACGTCGCATCGTGTCGGACTTTATAGCTTCCTCTGGATTCCCAGACCTTCTTTCATGGTGGTGCAATTGTAGCAGTACACCGACTGCAGCGAGCACCGCGCTCTCGACTTTGTGACCTCAAGCAACCAACCAACCAACTTGGGAGACCTGAAGCAAGAGGGCAAACGGAGCAAGAGCGACAACACAGCATCACAGCGCGGAGAGCCACGAAGCTGCCAGATCACGCTGCACCCTTGGAGCTCCAACTTGTGCCGACGCCAGATTTCCATCAGCCTCCATCCGCCTCGTTCTGGAGCTTCCCTTCCCCTCGACGCTCGCGACGAACTCTGAACCGCTTTTGCAGGTGGCACCGACAACCATCCCCCTGCCATCCCACCATCGTCCTGTCGGGTGTTAGCATCACATATCCGCCATCATGAATCCAGCCACACCTTTGCGCCAAGTGCCCGGTGCATTCCTCAACACGCCCGCTGCGCCCAGGACCGACGATGCTCGACGCTACTTGGACTCGCTTCCTGAAAAGAACACTGCGAGGCCGGCGCTAGGAGGGTTCGGGTCCTACAATGCTGGTGGTGCCGGAGTTGCTTCCGGACCCGTGACTGGGCCCGTTTCTGGCTCCATTGGCGGCGCCGGTGCTGGAACCGTTGCTGCTCCTCGTCCCGTCTCGCAGGTGCCTGTTCCAATGGTGCCAGCTCAAGCTCGCACAGATCTACCACCGGTTGCCAAGGCCGCGCGGCGCATCACCAATACCCTACTACGTGACGAGAACTACCCCGACGTTGATTCTTATGCTAGAGGTGAGCTACCTGTTTAGGTTTCCATCCCTCATGGTACCTGGTAGGACTGGCTAACCATGTCTCTCCCAAATAGCTGGCTCCTCCTCGGACTATGACATGTACAGGACTGATGACGCGCCCGGCGCCCCGTTTAAGAAGACTCATATGTATCCCATCCCCGATCAAGTCTTTGAGCGGTTAAACAGGGGAGAGGTCAACACGCAACTCGGCCTATTTGCCGACATCAACTACGCGTGGGCTGCTATTGACAGCTCCCTCTTTCTCTGGGACTATACCCACCCAAACCCCGAACTTATCGGCTACGAGGATGCCACCACCACCATCACCGCGGTTGCCCTAGTGCCCCCCAAACCTGGCGTGTTCGTTAGTAACATCACCCATATTCTAGTCGTTGCTACGGGCACCGAGATAGTTTTGCTGGGCGTATCCGCGACACCTACCCCTTCGGGATCGAAGACCGTCGCCCTCTACCAAACAAAAATGGCAGTACATCGCGGAAGCACCGATGTCAGCTTAATCATCGGTACCTCGAACGGCCGTATCTTCTTTGGCGGTTATACCGATACCGACATCTACGAGCTCCTTTACCAGCAGGAGGAGCGCTGGTTCTCAAGCAGATGTGCCAAGGTCAACCACACACACCCCGGCTGGACATCAGTTGTTCCTAACCTCCCAGTGCCAATGGGCTTCTTGGGCCACCGTGATCAGGAACACCTTGTTCAGCTGGTTGTTGATGATACTCGGAAACTCCTATACTCGCTCTCGGACAAGTCCACCATTCGAACATACTTCATGGAGCCCTCTGGGAAACTGACAAAAGTCATTGAAAAGAACAAGGTCTCGTGCCTTAGTGACATGACGCATATGGTTGACTTGAACAGAAACCCTTTGCTCAACGAGAGAGTGAGAATCGTCTCTCTTAGCGCCATCTCGGCACAAGAGGCCTCAAAGTCTCACCTCATGGCACTCACCAACACCGGATGCCGTTTGTTCCTCACTGCAACAAGCGCGGCATCCTACATGCTGAGCGCCTCAACCAGCCTTGCTCCTCAGAGCATGCAGGTCCAATATATCAAGTTTCCTCCTACGAGCGAAGACCAGCAGGTTCCCCTCCGCAACGAGATCAACACTGCAGTTGCATATGCACCTGCACCTGCAGCAGCTCAAGATCAAATGTCTGGCTTACTTTCGGAAAGTTGCCTTGGTGAACGTTTTCCTCCGGGTTATTTCTTCGACGCGGTTCGCCCCAAAGAGAGTCGCACGGATCTGCTCTTTGTATCAGCCCCCGATGTCGGCAGACTCAAGCAAAGCGCTGTACTCAGATATGTCGAGCAAGGTACTTTCATCCCCTTGGGTGACGGAAGCCGAGTTCTTTCCATCGGTCTTACTGGCAAGCCTTTTGCGGCTGCAAAACAACCGCTCGGATTTGGCAACGAACTAGCTGTTCAGTTCGACCATACCCCAAGCGAATTCGCTGTGCTCACCAACACCGGTATCCATATCGTTCGCCGCAGGAGGTTTGTTGACATCTTCGCTAATGCGATTCGTGTTGCATCTGGCGATGAGGATTTGGACAGCAAGGTTAAAACGTTCACGGCCATCTACGGCAGGGTCGAAATGGTCGCGGCTGCCTTGGCGGTAGCATGTGGTCAGGGAGGAGACGCCCGTCGTGCTGTAGATCCTCTTACTGAGGACCGGGCGCGGTCTATCTTTATCAACTACGGTGGTCAGCCCAAGCTTGCGGACGCAGATGTCTTGCAGGCACCGGAGGACAACGTACAGCTCTCGGCTCGCCACGATGCGCTGGTGCTCTATCTTGCGCGCCTCACCCGCACCCTATGGAAGTCCAAGGTCATTGAGATAGCCACGGATAGCGCTTCGGGCGGGTTCACTGTTGGCTCGGCGATTCCCATCTCCAAGCTCATGACGGTACAGGAAAGTGTGCAACGACTAAGGAGATTCCTTGAGGAAAACAAAAGTCTCATCCAGGGCCTGGCCGGACCCTCCGATCGGGTTTCTAGCAGACAAGAGGAGATTGCTTTGCAGCTGGAGCACCAGTCTCTTCACGCTCTGCGTCAGCTTATGGACAGCGTGTCTGAGGGCATCTCTTTCGTCTTGATGCTGTTCGATGAGCGGGTAACCGACATCTTCATGCGCCTCGATGATTCGTCCAAGCAGCAGCTGCAAAACCTTACCTATGAAGCTTTGTTCTCTCAGGACTCTGGGAAGGAGCTCGCCAAGGTTCTGGTGAAGGCTATTGTTAACCGCAATATTGCCAACGGAGCCAATGTCGAGACCGTTGCCGATGCACTCAGGAGAAGATGCGGCACTTTCTGCTCCCCTGATGACGTTGTCATTTTCAAGGCTCAAGAACAGCTGCAGCGGGCCAGCGAGTCGACGGGCAATCCTAACCTGATGCGCACCTTGCTTGCGGAGAGCTTGCGATTGTTTTCCCAAGTCGCGGGAAGCCTGACCATGACCAACCTGCGCAATGCGGTCGAGCAGTACATCAATTTGAAGTATTATGCTGGCGCTATCCAGCTGTGCTTGATCGTTGCGAGAGAGAAGGACCGTGGAAACGCGGCCCTTGCTTGGTTCAACGAAGGCAAGCCGGCTAACGACCCCCGTGAAAAGGCTTTCAAGGACCGGCAAAGTTGCTATTCCTTGATACACGAGGTGCTTGACCGGCTAGAGATTGAGTCGGCCTCGGAACCCGATGTTGTTGACGGTAGGCCGACTCTTGCTGCCACCAAGCGGGCGGAGGCATACAGCGTCGTCAATAGCTCGGAGGACGAGGTCTTCCACCTTGATTTGTACGACTGGTACATTGAGAAGGGATGGACCGACCGCATGTTGGCCATCGACTCTCCTCATGTCGTAACATACCTGCAGAGACTCGCTGCGATTGATGCTCAGCACGCCGATCTTCTTTGCCGGTTCTACACACAACGCAGCCGCTTCTTCGAGGCCGCTCAAGTGCAGGCTGAGCTCGCCAAGTCAGACTTCCCTCTTGGCATCAAGGAACGCATTACCTTGTTGAGCAGAGCAAAGGCCAACGCCAGCGTCACCACTGTCGGTGTGAGCCGCCAGCAACAGCAGCTTCTCAACCACGAAGTGACTGAGCTTCTGGAAATCGCCCACATCCAGGACGATTTGCTTGAGAGATTAAGGGCCGATCCTCGCATAGTACCTGAGAAGCTCCCTGATATCGAGAAGGTTCTGGATGGTCCTGTCCAGGGCCTTTCTACTGTGAGTCTTTCCCTAAAAGGATAGTCCTATTTTAGTTGCTAATCTGTACCATGTAGCTCTTCAACGATTTCGCTGATCAGGCCGGATACTACGACCTTTGCCTGCTCATCTACAACGCCGCGGACTACCAGAACCCGCACACCATCAAAGAGACGTGGGAGAATCTCATCAACCAGATCCACTTTGAGACCGAGCAGAAGCAAGAGGTGTGGCGCCTCATTGAGGCAGGCGAGGCATTGCCCGAGGGTGTCGAGGCTCTTGAAGTTCCACCCCCTATGCCTTACGAGGCTGTTGTCTCCCAGATCCAGTCCATTGCCCACCGCACCTCCCTCGACAGCCTCATCTTCCCCGTCGACACTCTTCTCCCGATGGTCTGCGCCTACGCCATCAACAACCACCAGGACGCCTCGATCGGCGCCGACCCTTGCTGGCCCGTGGCTGCCTTCCTACAGCTGGGCGTTCCTCATACCCTGATCGCCCGCGTGCTGGAGAACATGTTTGACGCTCAGGAGGCGCCCTTCGTTGGCAAGCACAGGAAGTTGGTTGTACAGTGGATCAACTGCGTCGTCGACTCGTGGATCCGCGAGATCGAGCACCGCGGCTCGGCCTCGGGTAAGAACGGCGATGGCGCCCTCACCACCTGGGTGGCTGAGCTGTTGACGAGGGCCGAGGAGGCGTTGGTTG